GAAAGAAGAAATAGCGCTTTGCGCTTTACTGTATACCTTTGGCTCACTGTCTATTCCTGCAGAAAAGTGCATCCGTGCGGCGCGGCGCGGCGCGGCGCGGCGCCGCGCGCCGCCGTGTTAAAACTATACTGACGGCGTTTGCCAGCAGCTATTTTGCAGAGCTTTACGCGAGTTTGTAATGGCACGATGTAGCGAATAAGCGACTAGGCGGAAAAATGATATAAAACGTAACTTTTGAGATATTAGTCCGACGTACAAAAATTAATGGTACTACTATTTTTATAATATAATAATAATTCTCTCGCACAATATAAATGATATAACTTTTCTTGCTCTTTTGTTTGATGTGTATGTAGGGTATGAAGAAGTATACTAAAATAGAGCTAGGTTTCGTCTTTATGACATTAAAAAGTAATCGAATCTAAAAGTCACTTTTCCTGGTCCTCGCCGTTCTAATCCTGTTTGTGCGCGCTCTACTTTCCTGATAATATTATCTATTTGACGATAAATCTGCAGCGTGATGTTCTAGCTGGAATGAGGTGTTCAGATAATCCGACAGCGCTGCGCTGTGTATGTAAGTACAGTACGGGTGTGATACGTGATACCGTTTCGCGCACAGCTTCGTGCTGTGCTCTTCTATGTAGATTAATGTCGACGCCTGTCGCAAGAGAGCTCGCAAGCTACTTTTACGTTGTCGCTTCACCAGGCTGCGGTATAATAGGTACGACGTGTATCCCGTATTTTATCGAAATTGGCGTTATTTAATCACAAATATTTTTGTAAATATTTAATTCTGAGAATTAAGATGAATTAATTTAGTCAAGCATTTTTTTTCATGAATTATGATACTTTTATTTTTATAATTTATCTCCGTTTTTATTGTTGCTTCTATTGCTTTCGTATTTTTGACGCATTTTTCTATATAAACATAAAATTTATTGATATTAAATATTTTGTCACTGGATCCAGTTTTTCATCTTAGGGTATATATGTATTATAGATTCTGTTTGACTTATAAAATTAATATGAAATATATATTAGTTTATCTTTCAAGATGATTTAATTTGATGATGAGATAATTGATTACATTTAATAAAAAATTACTATCACTGGGACAATTTTCTTTCCATACAATTTTGCTTTAATTGTACATAAGAATAGTGGCTGTTAAATTAAAAATGAAATAATAATAGAGGGAAATTATTATGCATATAATAAATAAGATGCATTTGCTTTTAATTTTCCTTTCATTTCTTCTTTCCACTGAATAATTACATTACTTGTAAAATAATTAGCTGTACGCAAGAGAGCTAAGAAACATTTATTAAGATTATTCATTATATCATTTAAAATTGTCGATTTGAGATTATTATCATCCATTAAATTATTCAGATCAATAAAGAAAAAGATATACATAGTAATATATAGGTAAGGTATATATAAATTGTCCGACTAAATAATGTTTAAAATAACCTAACTAAATAATGTAATAAATTTACTTTTTCAACAAGAATTTAATTAGACGTCATTTATATTTTTAATTTCATTATTAAATATTAAAAAATCTTGAATTAATTTTTTTGTTAAAATCAAATTAATTTATCTGTAGTATCTTTCTCAAGAATACTAATGATATTTATTTACTTTTTTATGTTTTTGAGATAATCGTTCTTTCTAACTTGTAATATATTGAAGGATGCGTATTCGCGAGTAATATAGGTATATCCAAAATATTTGAATATCTATTATAAATAATAGTGCTATCATGTACGTTTTAAAATACGATTAAATACGCAATGATATTACAATTCATGAAGAATTCGAGACACGTTTGTTCTCGTAAGAAAGCAGCTTGATACATAAATTCGCGAGGCACTTTAAGTTCGACAAATTGGGGTCACAATCAGCTATGCGTCAAGAGCAACTTTTTCCGAGTTCTTTCGTGTTCCGTTCGTGTTTCAATTGGTTTTGCAATCAAAATAATAAAAGTTGGGAAATCTCTTAAAACAATTGTACGCTCATATAAAATTTCCATGATCAAAAAAGAATGATAATTCTTATTTTCTTTTTCGAAAGAATATTATAACTTTTTTTAATATTATTATAATAAGGATAATAATAAAAATAATAACGGGTAATGTATATAAAGTTAACGAATAACTACTTCATCCAGTTCTTGTTTAGAAGTTTCGGCAATGATTATTTTTGATTGATTTTATTATTTTTTAAATCTTTTTATTATAATTATAGAGCACAAAATTAATTTCTAAGTTTTTGGAAAGAGAGTTTAAGAATAGAATCCTCTATTATGAGACGAAAGTTTCTGGACACCGCTTATGCTTTATTGTGCATAGGTACAATGTCGCGATTATACACTTGAAAACTCCTCCATCCTACTCGTTTAACTTGCCGCGATGTCACGACATGGTGCACGACAGAGAAGAAGACAGATCAGCAGTCGGAATTTTGTATACACAGTGATTCTATTCACGTCCGTCGCGATGATGGCTTGCGTATACGTACATGGAAAATTGCTACGTTCGCTGAATAAACTACTCCAAAGGAGGATTGTCTCATTCTTCATGTACTTTAAACATTAATCCAGATATAACAATACTTAAATGTAGGGTGTGTTCAGCACGAAAAGTTTATGGTTAGCAGAAAGATCTTCTCTGTCAAAATAACTTTCGAGATTTTTTCGTATCTAAAATTTAAGTGCGGGTTCTATTACGGAATTACTTAATAACACAATTAAGTAATTTTGTGCTGAACATAATAGAAACTGTACTCTTTTGCGATTCTATAATGTAGCTTGACAGAGAAGAAGAAGCTTTAATAAAATATCTGATTTTTTCTTACATTAATAAATTAAGATTTTTACACTTAAATTAATAGTAGTGTATATTATTTATAAGTAAAACCTTTTTCATCTTGTACTACTGATATATTTGTTGTAATTCAACGTGAATGTAGGTACAAAAGGTAATTTAATAAAAACGCATTAATTACAAATATAACATTTTTTTATTTATAATTAATACGTTTTTATTTTATTATATTTTTTAATTTTTAAAAGTCATATTTGTTTATGTTTTTTCAAATTAATATCTAGATATTAATAAAATTCCACAGAAAATTTAATTGATATTCATTTTTTAGTAGATTAAATTGCAAAAAATTATACCTATTATATGGACAATAGAATATGCGTATTATATGTACATAAAGTTTTTGATGTTTCGTAATTGCGCATTTCTCGGGATCTCTCCTTAATTTGCAAGAAGTCTAGATAAATTTAATATCAGATAAGTTAGCGCGAGTAAACCACGACATCGCAGTGATGAAGCATTAACCTAATTAAATAACATCGTATGGCAATGAAGCTATTTAGCAAGTCGTTAAACGTCGTCGTAATGCGTTTATGAGATTAACCTAAACATTAAATCAAGAATTATCAAATAACTCCATTTATCCAGAGTACGTGAGGTATCGCTCCAGTGGGAGCCTAACTTGAGCTCAACTTGTCGATATTAACTCTTCGGAAAGTTAGGAGTCATCCGGTATAACTCGAACTATCGATGTATAATTTGACATGGGTTTAACCCAGATCATTATCCGTGGTTATCTAGCTTCCGCGAAAATGAAGTACTCGATGCATAGTGAAATGCACACATTTCCGCTCTCAATTCCATATGTTTCAATTGACTTAGTAAAGTCGTAGAAAAGCTTTTATTTAAGTTAAATTCAAACTAGGAGGGAGTGGCTGAAAGAAAGTTAAATCATAATATATAATAAGTAATAATATAATAGATAAGTAGATTCAAAGTATAAAATTGCCATCGATTATACTGAGCATTTTATTTGTTTTTTATTATTTTTAATCAAATTATACGTTCAGAATAAGAACATTATTAAATATTTAAATGACAGATAATCTACATTGAGAGAAAAGCGTTTGGTATCTGTAACTTATAAATGATAAGACAATTATGGTTATAATTATTTTATCATGCAATTATAGCTACAAATACCGAATTTTTCTCTCAATGTAGATAGTGCTGAAATATTTTTTTGTAATTCTGTCTACTTGTCTGTCTGATATACTGCTGTATAATACGAAAAAGAAAAATACGAATTGTATGATCTACAAATGTCTTACGTTTGATCGTAAAATGTAAATAAGACCTCTATTTTTGAGAGGTGTTTCAGAAGAAAACACATCGTTATTTGCCAATCTGGTAAAAGGACAAATGAGTTGTCTATCGTTCGGACATATCGTGCAAAATTGAAATATTGGCAAGAACGACACATGTAACGGTTAGTTTTGAAATAAATATTACTTGATATATGGAATGTGAGTTCTACGATATGTTTCGATTTGTGCATACAATTTACACCCTTCGAAATGTAGTATGGACATCATAAATATATTTCCATTATACGAAACGCCAGAGATAAATACATTATGCTGTGGGTAATTTCGAGAAATACTCAATACATTAAATTTGTTCGATAATAACGCAATAAAAAACAAATATATGTCACAAATAGTACACAGATTTCCGTATGCATCGTATGAATGATGAAACGTCTAACTTTGTGTCCCGTATTGCCTTTTCAATAATGTAGGCTACTTGCGACCACATTTTTGACGTATGAACGTAATATACACTGGAGAGATTGCATAACAAACAGAAGTCGTATGGCTAAAAATATGGCATGCAATTTATGGCAGGAAGTTATGTGAAAAGTTTTAAAATAGTTTCCGTAAATCTCTCAGTACCGCTCTATAAAATATCCAAAATATCTTTATATACTTCGTACAAGATATAGAAATTATTCGAAGCATTTCCTATTTGTGTTTTTGAGAATATAGAATTTTAGATTACTCTTTCTCTCTCTCTCTCTCTCTCTCTCCCTTATTGACCTCCAGTTTAATATGAATTTAATCTTACTCCGGTAATGCTGCATAATGTAATGCATAATGTAATGCAACGCACCTGTGACGTTAAGAACAACATGCTGTACGTTGTTGCATTCTCGGTTGACTGCCATATATGTAGCCTCGCATCTGTACAGACCCTCGTTGTTCAGTTGAACTTCGGTTATCTTCAAATATGATTTCGATGAATTCGATGAATACTCTATGTCCGCCCTAAAACATTTAAAACGTAAAACATTCATATATTGTTTAATTGATTTAAAATTATAACAAAAATATTTAATTTAAGGTAATATTCTATTTCCGCATTAAAATATTCAAAACGTATAAGCCATTCAATGACATAAATCATTCACATTAGAAAAGTGTGCATTAATTGTAATTCTAATTAAAAATTAATAAAAATCAGAATTTTGGGAGATTGAATCTATTATAATTTTAGTTGAAGCAAGATAACCAGAATTTCGATTGACGTGATCAGAATTTTTTGATTTATTTCATTTATTTTTAATCAGACATTTTTTTAATGTGTTATTAGAAAATAAACGTGGAATTATAATTAAAAAGATAATATAACTTTCTAAATTAATTTTAATTGTTCGAAATTTTGATATGTTTAATTTAATACATGATGTATCCGAAAAAATTGTTAGTACTGAAATTATAATGAGACGATAACAATGAAGGAATACTTTATTTAGTGAATTTTTGTAAGCATTTTATGCGGCAACAATAATGATAAATGTATTTCCTTTAGAATATAATATAAATTTTGCTTGCCACATATTATGATAACTTTATCTTTGTACAATCGATGTCATTCACAATTATAACGTGCTGTTTTCATTAATCGAATACATTGATTGTTTATGAACTTTATAATGACGATCGCAGGATATTATACCGTTATGTGGTTCATGCCAACGCAAGTATAATGACCTCACGTAATGTCAATCTCAAATTGCGATTAACACTGGGTAATGAATCGGACAATCAATGAAATTAATCTACTTGTTATCCCGCCTGAGTAGTACAATTCATTTACGACGATAAGGTAGTGGTATTATCGTCATATATCTTGCTAGTCGATTATATGTGTGATTCGAATCGTTTTCTATTTCTACATATTATATACATTCAATATAGATAAGCATAGTTTCTAAATTTGAAATCTTATTCTAAAGAGTGAAAAATCTCGCTCTTAAAGATTGGAAATTCTACCATTTTTTTTACAATGAAAAAAAGTTTACTATATTTTAATAAATATTTATTAAGATATAGTAAACTATAATATATTAAATTATATTAATTATATTAAAGGACTGCATACGTAGTATATAAATTCACACGAAATTATATAAGCACTAAGATTTAACTAAACCGTTAAAAGCATTGTTTCGTATTGGTTGTGTTTCTCATTTAGAATAAAATTCCAAAAAGTTTAGAGAATGCATTTCAGAAATGACTAATAGACTCAAATGATTTTTCATATGATCTTTTGAATATGCATTAGTAATTTATAATGATAAATTGCACATGTTTTTGTGTAGTAATCACGAAAATCCCGAAAGCTCATAATTACATTTGATCATGATGCAAATGCGTCCTTTATAAACAATTAACGTACGATGGGTAAAGTGTGAAGCAACAAGACGTTAACCGAAGGTTTCGCCATTTATATCCGTTAATGGCAAGCAGACGCACAGTCAATCTATATAGGTCACGCTCGATATTCTGTCAATAGATGTTGAGTGTGTTCATGGACACATAAGTCCAGAAGGCGGTACACATCTCTCTCGAACACACCGATAACTCGATATAATTTACATTCCCATCAAATTGATTACTTGTTATCTAAAAATGAATGAAGGAGAAAACACTAAAAAATGCACATTGCAAAAGAAAACGAGAGAAATTATTCCAACCATTTTTCTTTTTCTCTTTCTCTACAAAATTGTAATGTTAATTATGCGATTATGCAGTTTGTTTAATATTGATATAAATATAATATTTTTACACGTGTTTAATTAAAAGATTGATACATACTCAATATTCAATAAATATAATACTACCGTTTAAAAGTTTCATCATTTTTATTTATAGAAATCTTATATAAATAAAATATGAATACAATTTGCATACTTTTTAAATTCATTATTATATATTTTTACTAAAATAAAGAAAAAAGAACTTACTTTTTCTCAAATTTTTTCATTTCTTCAAACTTAATTTCCTTGGATTTATAGATAACAGAATTAATGCTTTTGGCAGTCTGTGTCGATATATCTTTTAAGTGTCTTAATTAAAGACACGTCTGTTTTAATCTAGCGCTTAATTTCTGTGAAAATATATTATTTCCATTTTCTTATTATTAGTCGTTATGATATTCAAATGTTTATCGATTACTCATAGTAGGTACAAAATTTGAAACCGACATTTCTTTTGTGTGTGTGTAACACCGATATAATTCATCTAATTTAAATTAATTTATTATTTCCGTTTCAAATTATTTGTCACCAATTTATAATTTTATTGAATATTTCCGTGACCGGAAATAAGACATCCTATCATCATAATTTTCTATTCTATAAATAAGTAGAATTGAGTTAGCAAACATATAAGACTGAAAATATGTTGAAATTTTGAGCGGTAGTGTAGCTATTGTTTCTATGCTATGTACATATGTATGTTCATACAATCACACAATGTTTCCAGATCCGCTTTTATTAACCAGATTAAATATTGGTACGAACAATTTTCAACCAAAACGTCTGTGTTGCTTTTATTCTCGGTTTTCCCAATTAAACGTATAGCATGTGACGAATCATTGTTTTTGCAGACAGCAAATTCTGCTTTTGGATGAAACGCAGGTGATCGCGGTAAACCGACATTTCGACGTGTTGTTTGATCGACGAACCGTTTACAGCGTCATTAGCGCATTGTTGGTACGACAATGTGCCACACCGCTAATCAACGACATCATGCTGCATGAAACTATGTATCTTTTACATTCTCATGTAATTAGATGATTAATGCTAGATACTACAATAAGCATGCATCTACAGGATATATTATCTACTTTTGTGTCAGTAAATTTAGTCTAATTTTTTAAATTGCTATTTCTTTTATATTTTTATTAAAATATCAAAATATAAAATAATTTTAGTACTCGAAATAATTTCGCGCCGACGTATTTAATTGAATGTACTGTTTTCAGAACGTTAAGCAATATTGCCAAGAAAACTCTTTGTGACATCCTAAAGTAATAAAATAATATACATGTACGATAGCAATACACACAACATTATTTTACATTTTTAAGTTCTAAATCCGGATTCCTCCTTCCCCCCAACTAATTTAGATGATAGTACGCTGCATTATAAAATCCTAGAAATAGAGACAATAGCATTAGTATAATATTATAATAAATTGTAGTGTTCCTTTATGTCTTATTTTTATATATTGCATGGCATTAGTATAGTGTATTGTACCTTTATATTAAAAATGTATTATTTTCTTCAATGGGGTATGCCAACCATATTTTCACATTTGATTTTATCTTAAATTCAAATATATATTATAAAATATCAGATTATATTATAAAATATCAGAAAGACATGTTCTACATTTTGACTAACAAAATGTATTTCGTACTACAATTATAGAAAATTTTTGCGCATAATATTCGCATATAAATCGGCGTGTTTTTCACATAAACGTGACATATGCATTGTATATTATTCACGATGTAATGATTGAATATTGCTCTGCTATCTACTAGACGTGCGAATAACAAGATTTAATTCGTGATGGAAAATATTAGGGAAAACAAATTTCGTGAAAAATGAATGTTCCACTTTAATAAACAGATATTATTAAAAAATAATATCTACTATTATTAAAAAATAATATCTACTCTATACTGTTTAACAGTAATAATTATTGAACTTTAATTCAATATCGATTTATCGTTAATAGTTACAAGCTGATACGTATTTATAGAAACCTTATATAGAAAAAAATATTACAGTTGCCACAACTGAAAATAATGATAATTTTCGCTACATTTTAGTTGTATCGATACATTTAGTTGTGATAACCATAAGCTGGACATGTCTTAACAGCCATAATTGTTGATGTATATGGCGTTTTACGGTTATCACAATCGTGCTATAGTTCTTATAACTAAAAAAATAGATTAATGGGGGATTATTGGTCATGACAATCACAGCCGATTTTTCCGTTTGCCGAATAATTACATTTGGTTTTATATAATGAAAAATAAACGTGGAAAATGTTTATAATTCTACATCATAATTCCTTTAATGCATATACATATAACGCTTACAGTTTATTTAATCGTAGAAGATAACACTTTAATCAAGTATTATCCAATTACGTAAAATGCACTTCGCTGTGAATCCAACATCGCGTTTGACAACTATGCTTGTAATATTTCACTATAATCCCGAGATCTCGGGAATATATTGTAACAGGAATTTAGTGTTTGTCAAAGGACATCATTTTTATAGAAGATTTCTGCCGCAAAGTATATGCCAAAGTAATGGGAAATAGGAATAAGCCTTTTACATAAAATTACATATAGAAAATTCTGTACATTGAAGCTAGTTCAAATATAATGCTATAGAATAAAAAAATCGATCCGATATTACAATAAAAAATTTATATGTATTATTAAAGTGAAATAAACAAAAATCTGTTTATTTAAAATAAAAATATTTTTATGTAAATACTCTTATAAAATATTTTATATATTTCATGTAATTCTTCAAATAAAAAATACCACATTTTAAAAAGCTATATTAAAGAATTTATAAATGGATTTCCAAGGATTGCTTTTTATATATATGAATATATGTATAGATGTACATCAATTGTGCTTATTTTTTATTATATCATCGTCGGATCTTGTTATTTTTCGACAGATACTGCAAGAGAATATGTAATATTGAACAAAAAATGTAAAATGCATATTGTAAATGGAACATTTTCTCGTTAAATTTTTTTTCAAGCAATACAACAAAGCTGACAACAGTCACATACATATGTATCTCTGCTTACTCTGTGTAGCAAAACATAACTCATAAAAATATTATGCTGCTAATGCTTTTGTTTCAATAAAATATACTGAGTTCACGCGTATGAAATCCATCTCATATCGTTGCTGTATAACTTAATAAGTAAATACATAAGACGAAGAAGAAAAATGATAAGTGACTATTAAAGCGCGTTAATGAAATTAAATAAGTATTACTTTATTAATCTGTGATGTGCCTTTTTAGTGATACCAAGCATGTTAATTTATGGTTTATTTGATATTACATGTATGGGAATTATTTTAACGCATGATTAAATGTCCTATAATTTATACATCCTTTTCAGCTATTTTTGCAAATCAATTAGCAGTGATAATTTTTTTACATTACAACGAAATAAAATCTATTGAGTAAGTTTAATTAAATTTTTATCTAATTCGAAAAAGAAATAGAATTATTTTATTTAATTATATATTATTTTATTTAACTATATTAAAATTATTTTATTTAATTTTTAACAAAAATATTAATTAGTCTGAAAAGTTAAAAATATAAATGTATACAAATTTTTAATCGCTATTCAATAAAGTATGTCGCTTTTGATATAGAAAATTTAGAAAATTAATTATTTGACTATAGAAAATTAATTATTTGAAGATATTGATGAGTTCATGTTAATTAATGTAAATTTATACGTAGAGAGAAACACGGTTATCGGATCAAATCTCTAAGGAACACTTCGGATTCGAGTTCGTACGTCTAATTGCAACGTGCAACAGTGCAACTAAGCAATACCGATCGAGGCAAATAACTACATTAGAGGGGCAAATCACAATCGAAAGATGTGGCTAATTGATTGATGGAGGTAATGAGGTTGTTTCATTTGAAGCTAAATATTCCAATTTTTTATAATCAAATAATATTAAATCCTTTTAGAGCTCGATATAGACCATTTATTTATTTAATTTGCATTGCAAAAAGATGAGCGAAATTTATTAAAAATAACTTTTAATTATTACACTTTTTGTAATACCGTGTAGTATTTTCTTTAACATTACATAGCATAAATACATAGAATAATGTACTATAGAAGGTTCTATACTCAACAAGATTTATTTTATATTCATTAATTCATTAATTAATCCATTTGCTAACTGGTTTGTTATAATATTTAATTGTTACTGTCCATATCCATATTTGTGTAATTAAAAGAGTACCAGTACGTGTTAATGGTTTTGTATGCAAATAATACATGTAAATTGTAAACTGTATTAAATCAACTATAGAAATAATGGCAAGCTGGATATTATTAAAACAATCAGAAATACTTTGATAATTACCAATCGGAAGTTTCATGCTAAATATTCACGTGTGCATATTCACATGCACATATTTAACGCATTTGATGTATTTGAAGGTATATGGTCTATAAATATAGACCGCGAACCACAAAACGCCATTACTAGGTGACCCGGGAATGAGCATAATCGTGATAGTTACGATTTGTGGAATCGGCAAATTATCAATACCGAAAATGACTCAAGAAATTATCTATTATACTTGCATTTCAGTTGTATAATATATTTTATATCCAGCATTTTTAATGTCATATACAGAAAATATATTTAGAAAGTCTAAGAATATTAATAAAAATAATAATAAAATCATTTTTATTAATATGTTCATTAATATTCTTTTGTCCAAATTAGAAACTTGAAATGTTTGTAAAATAGGAATATAAAATTACATTTCAAGTAAATATTAATATAATAAGAAATTATATGATTTTTTAAAAATATATGTAAAAATATAGAAATATAACAAATATATTTGTTTAATGAAGAAATTGTTTAATATAATAATATTTTAAAAATATAAAAAGACGAATTTTAGTTGTTTTTGCTACCGCAAAAAATTATAGTTATTATCGCGAGTTTTAGTAAGTTAATATTACGGATTCAATTAGCGCCACTAAATATATTGAGGAATAATGAATTTAGCTTAGTTTCTAAAAACCAAAATACAAGGGAGAGGCAGCCTAATTAAGTCAAGGCACGAGCTGAACCTACTAGCATTATGCATTCAAGTCTCAATATAATACTTTAATTACCTAGCAGCAATGTCGTTATTGCCGCGTATAATCCCGGCGTCCTCACTGAAAATGAAAATCCTCGTGGATCCGTGGTACCACTTGATGCTGTGCAGACCTTCACACTGCGGTGATTTCAGAACGCAGGGCAGTGAAATCTCTGTTCCGAGCTCAGCAAGCTTCACGGTTCTCAACCACGGCTCGCTCCCTGAAACAAACATTCGTGATAATTTATGTGCAATTGAGTTTATAATTGAGATTCTAAATATCGATTACGCTCGACAAAATGTAATCAGCAAGTAAATTGTTTCATTGCGCGATATCTGATATATACGATGCTATAGAGAACTTATTTCGTACACCATGTGTACAGTAAATATGAAGCTTTTATGTTCAATGAGAAACAATAATTATAAGTTATTATAGCAACATTTCGTATTATTACATATTCGCGATTTATGCATTTTATATCTAAAATATTCTGTTGTGAGGAGTTTTGTCGAAAGAGAGATTACGTGCTTAATTGATATGATGAGAACCGAAACCGCAGTACGAAATAAATTGGCGCAGTGATTTGCTTCGAAAAAAAGGTTCTGAAACCGTATTGTGAATATTCATTGGCATAAGTAAATTTGTATATTGTTATATTTCTATAAAATTTTTTAAATATTTCAGTTGAAAAAATTTTTTTTAGCAGATTAACTTTTTTAATATTTACTTATCGCTTAAATTTAAGAGAAATGATTTGTATTTCAATTCAAGTGAAGAATAATGGAGATCCATCGTAGAAAATTGCTTTACGATGCCTTTCCACGTTTCTCGTACGTGTGAGAAGTTTATTTCTTGGACATTACTGGATGACTCTTCATTCACTCTTCGCTTCGAAGAGTTTCTTCGAAGAGAAAAATCCATCTCACCGTTCTGCACTTTGTGCAGAGGTCATAAAGAATGGGGGTTGCTTCTCTTTTTCGCGAAATTTATCCCTAACGTTCCGCTCGAGACTTTTGCAAGCGGTCGCGATTAACATTGTCGAGATACTGAATTGAGTTTTAAAAGCATTGCAAAGAAAAAGAAAAAGAAATTCTACATTAGTGATATTACATACTCTTCGCAATCATAGACTCTTTTACTAACCTTTTATGATGTGAAAAAGTAATTATGGTGAGATGAAAGAAAAATAAGCCATTCTTTACCTCTTGAAAAAGTTGATTGCACGAGTAAACCATCGCTTATTATAAGATAACGTTTAGTATTGCGTTTCGAGATTTCGTAATAATATTTGTTATTTACGCTTTCATTAATTAAAACTATTTGTATAAACTTAACGCAGAAAATCCGAAAGTAATAAAAAAAGTATGAAACATATGTTTATAATAGCTTTTTGTACCAATTGCTATCACTTGCGAGATTGAGAGAACATAGGTATGACGCATGAACATTCAGAACATTCAGAATACAGAAGGATTACGATTTATGGGCTTTGCATGAATATCTACAAACAGTGATTTATTTGCCGAATATGGATGTCCATCACTGATGATTGAATTTCTATAGCTTTAGTGTAGTTTAAGTGATTTTGGTTTTATATGTTTAGATATGCCACAAGATTTATCGAAAAATCAATTTGGAAATTTGCGCTAGATTAATCCAATGTGCGTCTACGGCGCATAGATTTTGTCATTATCTCTGCAATTCGAAACGTTTTGCATCAGCATTCGTGACGAGCCGTACAAATTTATGAATATAACATGAAAATTAATTATATACGTACAATTGTCATTACAAAATATTAAGTCAGAAAAATTTAGTAATTTATATAAGAAAGAGAATGTCCTCTATTCTTTTAATAATATTTAAATATTTTACTCTACTGCAAATTGAGTGTCATTTTTATACAAATAATTTCTTTCAAATTTAAGTTGTAACTGAACATTAAAGAGTTAATTTACTAAAAAGAAATATTTTACCTTTCTACTGAAATATATTTTTTAATTTTCATAGAAGTACAACAATATATTTATATGTTCAACAAACACTGTGAAAAGATAACTTGAAGTATTACGGTAGAAACACTGTTTGCGTTTGTAAGCATCCGTTGCATTTAACGCCGCTAATTAGTAGCACTCGCAGTTAAATTTTGCTACGTATGCATAAAGTTTTTATGAGCGCACAGAAACGGGCTGTAACAATGATAATTATTGCACTTGGTGGTACTTATAGCTCCCGTCGGTTGAAACTTCTTGTATGACGGAGGAGACCTTGCAAGTACGACAGTACAAAATACTATGTGTGCACTTGGTTATTTTCCGAGCTCGTTAATAACAATTCGACAACTGTATAATTGCTAAACCAACGTTGATAATAGATTTCAATTTCTTAATTGATATAATAAATATTTTTTTAAATTAAAAATTAATCAAATAAAATAAAATAAAAATCTTGCAGACATTTTTTTTTGTAGCTTTGTTAGAGAGAGGAAAAATGATAAAAATTATATGGAATAGAGTTATATTGATACGTCAAATTAGATAACTGAAAGATAACATTTCTCTTCCGAATTAATTTTGAGATGTAGTAAATAAAATTTGAAAAGTTTGCTTTGATACTTTGTTCTATTTTTCTACCGAAAATGTCATATTTTTAATAAGAATGCAGATTTTTAAAGAAATTTCGTTTTCGCAATACGATATTTTAGGAATGTGCTATTTATTTTTCTTCTGTATATTAAGAGAGATAAACAGTTAACTGTATCAGACTGTACATAGCATTGATTATCGTAACGTCTTAACGCTTCAGCAATCACGATTAACAGCGTTAATGCTCCATGATTGCCGCCACTATTCAAAATCACTCGATTGGAATTGGTATTGTATCTCGACGTTTAGTTATCGTATGTGTAATTATGATTACATGTCAAATATATTACATGTCAAAAATGCTACAAAGTTCGCGACTGTTTTTTATAATCTTTCTGTAAAAATAACGACCAAAATACGCGCGTTTATCATTGAAGTTTTACTCGACATATGTGGGTAGGAAGCGTGATCGGCGCGTTTACAGTTAAAGGCCATGAAATTAGTAACACTTCGAGATGTCAACGTGACTCCAGAGACATTAAAATGTAAAGTAAGCACTATGCTTTGGAACGAGCACCGTTGCGGAAGAGCACGTGCAGATAACGACGTTCTATCGCGGAGGTAGAAAAAGTTATCGACCTCGGATGCTCCGACGCGTGCTTAACCCATTTCGAAATTATACAAATTGCAGCCTGCATTAGCATGAAGCCGGGTTTGAGAGACAGAATAGGCCGAACGAGAATTAACAGAGGCGGAGATTTAACACTGAGATGAAAAAAACGATGCGTGTATAAATATCGGAAATCGGGAAATTATGACGAGCAGAACTATATAAGTCGTTGCGTCTAACGTATTGTGTCTAAATAAAATGACCGAAACATAGATTTTGTGAAATTTCTGATATCAAAACGCAATAATTCTTTTAAATCGCTGCCACTTCTAATTAGATTATGTCCAACAATATTTCGAATTTCACAATAACGCTGAAAGAAAAATTTTTGTTTCTTGTAACTATAAATTTAAGACAACAAAAAACAAATGAAGGGCTAAGAGCCAGTTGTGTATAACAAAGAAAACTTTAATTCAAAATAATAAAAATATTACAACAAACGTTTCGACGCCGATCGGGTCATTATCAATGTTACAGTAAATTATAATTATTGTATAAAACTATTTGAAATCTATAAAATAATAGCTGTAATATCATACTTTTATTGATAAAACTATATGTATGTAGTTATTTATGGGGCGACTACGCAGTATATAAAATTCACACAATTATATTAAGCACTGTGATCCAGCTTTGACCGTAAAATGGCTTTCTTCTTCTAGTTTATTATTGTTTATTAATTATACGGTCCTAAAAAGTTTCTAGTATATGTAGTTATTATTACTAATACCAAACATTTTTCTCTCAGAGTAAGTATTTTATCAAGAAAGAAAAAGAAAAGATCTATTTTATTTGATGACAAATTGTGAATACTATCTCACATGATCTCACATCGTGTTAGGTACAATATTTTCCCTATGAATTGTTTCTCTCCCGCATCCCGCATTCTATGTCAGTTTCCTGCAGAATCCTTTACAACATATCCGTATTACTTTGAAATGCGTGAAACGTGATGTACTAACAGATATGTCAAATAACGGTAGTAAATAAAGACAGTGAGTGATAGTTGTACGATACGTAATACTAAATTATCATAAGTGAATATCTATTAAATTTTGGAAATCTATAAATACATTTTAGCTAGAGATTTTGAAATCTATAAAAGTATTATAATTTAATAAAAGTAATATAAATTAACACTAAATTATCGTATCGAGTTTATAAAATTTCCCACATGTCTAATAATTTTTTATATTAATGTTAATAATAATCCCAAACATTCCGAAAATTATTAAAAAGTAGACTATAATTAAATTAACGCTTTAGTTTATAACTGTATAACTTTATTTTCAATTAACGATATATCATAACGGCGAATAGTTTTAATAAGAATTTATTAAATTTCTAAATTATTCATACAGTTCAGTATTTCCAAACTATGTCACTGTTGGATAATAATTGTGACGAATTATAATTTTCTGAGGTTATAGATTCTGAGGTTACACATTTACAATTTTATTTTATTACTTTCGAGATCGTAAGTATAGTTGCGTGAATTTTGAAAAATTATTCTGCAGGAAAAATAACAAAAATGCTTACAATGCTTAGAATGGGCAAAATTGTACGTTTATCTAGCTTGTTGTGGAAGTCCTATATAAACATACGTATAAGCATACCATAGCACTTGACGTACGAACTGCTATTGTAATAGTTCGGAGGATTACTGGGATTAATTCAGAAAGCCTTCTAGGATTCTGTAAGTTAAAAGGGTAACATGAAAGTTCTAATTTGAAATGTGATGGAGGTAAAAATCTTTCTTATGATATGCGCTTGAGCGAGAAATTCAGTCTGATAAAACTGTCATCACGAAAGTACTAATTCTGTTTTCTAATATTTCAAATATAATTAAATTTATTAATGTATTGATTTTGTATTCAACATTTTTTATAATATTGATTATTTATTTGTTTATTACTATCTAAATATTTGATTAGATTTAATACCTTTTTTATTATTGATTAT